GGCCTTGATCATACATGTATGATCAACTATATGTGTTTTCATTTTTCAAATGTTAAAGTTTGCAATCACAGATAATGTTTATCACCACTGTAAAATGCAAGGATATCAGCATATCATCACCATCACCATCACCATCATCATCGTCGTCACCATCATTATCATCACCACAACCATCAGCATCAGCATCGCCACCGGTATCGTTATCACAGGTATATACGGTACTCCACACAGAGATTAACGAAGGGCATCTCTTTGATCAGGGGTTATTTAAATATCTTTACTGTGTGTCAGTATATCCAGTTTCTGTCAGTGCAGAAAAATACCAAGTCGGTCAGCTGTGAACACGGTTCTTCAACATCGGGCATCAGCTGATTTTCTTACGTCCTTGACACACAACGACCTCTTGACATGATGTAACTTACAGGGAGAGGGGATAGTCGGATTGCAGACACGAGGTGGATGTCGTCCAAATAGAGTTACGAACTACCAGAAACCGTTTCATAGATCATGCTTTCTGTCTAGGAAACTATTCATTACTGCTGTACAGTATAAAATATATTAGAACAGTAAAAGAAAATAACGACACCAATTCTCAAACTGTTAAAAATTATATTCCCAGGATATATATATATATATATATATATATACACACACACACACACACAACCGGGCAAAAGAAAATGCCTGCCATTCTAATATCACTCCTATGTAAAGTGAAATTGCGACCCCGTGTTCCTTAAGACGTCATATGCACGTCACCTGTTGTGAGACACTCATTGATATGATGCATGTAGTATCGCCTAAGATACCCGAAGCAAATATATCTCCTTCGCATAACCATTTCATGTTTGTTTCATTTTTAACCCCCATCAAACATGGGCGTATACTTACTTTTGCCGGGCAGTTTACACAAGTTACAATTACTTCCCAATCGTTCGATCACTGAGACGATTGGAACATGGTGGTCGCAATTTCAAATTGCACAGTGAGGTGAGGTGAGGTGAAATGGGGTTTAACGTCGCGTCCACGATTATTGCACTTTTATAGCGATGAGCATGCACGTGTGTGTGTGTTGCGGGGGGGGGGGGGGGGGGGGGGGGGGGGGGTCTGTTGGATATTACATAAAACATTCATCTCGAGCGGGATGGTAGTTCGAGTTGGATAAGCGTGTTATCTATGATCTTCTCAAGGTAGGGAATGCCGCGCATGAATGTATCAATGAGATTCCCGGGTACATGTACAAGGGGGCTTTTCGGCAGGAATATCCACACAGAGGATACTTAAATGGGGATCGGGTGAACGTAATGTGGTACCTGGTAGATTGTGTGTCATCAAACCGGACAACTTTAGTCTTTGACTGATTGTAGCGTAAAACACACTTATTCATTTACTTGTACCGGAAATTGAATGTTCATCTCAATTGTTATTAGTGAACACGTAATATATTTTTAAAGAAATAAAACAGTGACATAATAACTACAACTTTATGTAAGTACGAGTAGCTCTATTGGAGATGGAGATGAATAAGTGTTATAAAGCTTCTTCACAACCGTGTAACCATGAATTGACTTTATTGGGTAATCCAAAACGACATATCGACCTAAAATAGCCAAATATCATACGATTTCACTTGTTCACAATCTTGGATGCAAGGCGAAAACATTTCAGCGCGTTTGAAGATACTGAGAATGTCCCCTCAGAGTTGGACGAACATTCTGTAGTAGCGCCGCGGTGTTGACCAGAGGCTATCAGCGTTGTGTGTGTGTGTGTGCGTGCGTGCGTGCGTGCGTGCGTGCGTGTATGTGTATGTTTGTGTGAGGGGGGGGGGGGGGGGGGGGGGGGGCATGGGGGTGAGAGTGTGGGAGGGGTTATAGATGATGGATTTAACAACAAGTAAGGTCATCTTGAGCGGGACGGTTTTCGTAGTTGGATTAGCGTATGAACTATGATTCTCCTTAGGTAGAAAATAAAGATCCACGATATTCGACCTGGTAGAAGTGTGTAATCAAACCGCACAGCATTGGTCTTTGATTGACTGTGGCGCCAAAACAAACTCATTCATGTACTTGATCTGAATGTTCATCTTAATTGTTATGGAAAGTCATGGAGCCGTGATCCAGAGAACACGGTGTCATTAGATAAAAATGAAGTAATAATAGGATTACCAGAAAAACGGGGTATAAAACCCAAGCCAATAAGCTTCGCTCAGGAACATCAGAGTAAGTCAGTACAAGATTGAAAACTGCCCCATATGCATGTATGACAGGCTATTCGGGTATTGCTACTTGTATATGTGAAAACAAAGTTATTAAAATGAATACTAGCAAAACTGATGAAAGTCACCAATAAACGTGTATAAGTGTTATATCGTCACTGCAAAAATAATGAGTGTTTGTCTTTAGTATTAACATTCAAATACGTGATATCTGTATTAGCGAAAATTGTCTACGTTCCACCGGTGAGTAAGAGTTAGGCTTACTATCTGGTAGTATAAATGTTGCAAGAAATTTTATTTCTGAAGACATCACGATACAGTTTTTTCGATGCATCGCGTCTGCACTAGCGCTTGATAACAGGCTTGTGTTTGGGTGTTTCAGTAGTTTAAATTGCTGCTCTTGATATTGTTGATTAAACTTTGATACTATGAACAATATAAGGTTATATGAGCGTATGACTTAAGAACGGTAACATGCGTTAATGTATATCTGATATATATATATAGGATGACATAAATAGAACAATGAGTAGTACGTCCAGATTAGTGTATAGACAACATCTAATAATTAAATTCAACAACTCTCCTTTTAAGTCTTTTTTCCTGACTTAAAAGTAAATGAAAGAACACAATCGTCCGGAACACAATGTATATTTCTGGTGCACTTCCATGTGACTATATACCATACAATAAGCTTTCGGGTCCCGTTTGGATCGGTTTGGGTGGCAGCTTAGATATCCATAAAATAAGTTCATCTCGGAATCTCCCTTGTAACTGGGGCTCCTCTTCAATTTAAATGGAGTTACTTGTTTCTTTCAAAACTATACAGTTTTAGAGACTAAGCATTAGTCTGAATAGACATCACCAGTTTGGAATTTGAAACTAATCTGTTTACAGTAACAGGACAGTGCTTAAGTGTCATGTACAAATGAGAAAGTGGAATCCCGTCAATTAGGCGGACGAACCTTAAAACTATTAATAAACATTAAAATAAGCAATATCGGAAAAATGTATATGCATATAATATCTGGTAATATACACAAATATCACCTTCTACAAAAATAAGTTTTAAAAGCCGGTTGATATTCGTTTGCGTATTTGACGATTATATAACTTTCGAAAGCATAATCCTTTTCCTATACTCAGACGTTCCTGAGCTCGAGCCTTGCGCTTTCCTAATTATTTTGACTAAAATTATTACCGTTATCATTGTATTGGTTAATGGGAAACGCGTGCCGATCAAGTACGTGCCATAAATTAAAGCGACATTGTACGATTCCGAACTTATAACGAGACTGTGTTTATGAATCATTGTCAAATAGTGGTGACGTAGTGGAAACAATACGCGAAATCGCGCATGCACAGAACGGAAAATTTGGACAAGGCATTTAGCAATCCACATGCGCAGAGCGACTGATTTCAGTACTTCCGCTAAGCGCTTCGTGTACAGCGTCAAACTCGGGCCTGTAATCTAACACGCGAGAACTGACTAATGAAATCTGAGAAGTAGGAATACCGGTAGACGCTGTTTCTTGATTGACAATGTCAATCAAGAAAGGGAGGAGCTTGATGATATCGTTCTCGCCAAGTAAATTCCGATGTCAAATAACGACGTTATTTGGACGGAAAAACGATGGTTTGAAAGAGTCCAAATAACGTCGTTTTTCCGTCCAATGACCATATACGGAAAAAAACGACGTTTTCGTGTTTTTAGTGTATATAGCGACGTGCATGTACGTGTGTGTGTGTGTTTGTGTGGCTGCTTGTACTAGTCCGGACTGATGCCGATTTATAGTGCTAACTCACTGAGGTACCATGCCGTAGTTTGACATGAATACCCAACTCAGACACAGTATGCTGACTCCGAGCCGACCAGTCCTTGTTTTAGCCCCTTAATGCCGAACGCCAGACAAGGTAACAACAAGTACCATCTTTTAACGTCTTTTGGTATGACGCGGTCGGGGATCGAACCCCGGACCTTCCGCTCTCCGGGCGGACGCTCTACCACTAGACCACGGAGGCGGTCACTCTCCCCTTGAAAATACCACTGTTTAATAACAATATGCTGGTATTACAGTGTGTGACACATGAACGCGTGCTTATGTACAAGTATCACAAACAAATATTGAAAACCCTCAACACCCCTGGGCCAAATTTAATGACGTTGCGTATAGATGACCCCCAGCAACCCTGTTGCTAGGCTGACGTCACATGGCATTGTTTCCCCGGTGTATCTCGCAATATTTTTTCCAAATTATGACACAGGATATAGTGGGACGTTTTTGTAAACATTGTTATGAGAGACACCGTTCCACAAAGCGATCGTAGCGCAACGACAGTCGTAAGTCTATGTAATGTGTGGGAGATGCGATGACCTTAGCGCTGCGACAGCTTTGTCGGACGGACCCCTGAATTCTGAAGTTAGATGGTTGTATGGCATAAAAAAATACGTGTCCTAAAGTATTATTCTGATGAACTCAATTGGATTTTGCTGTGGTTAGTTTATAAATCCGCATATTTACATACGACAGTGAAATTTAAATTTATTTTAAACGGCAGGTAATAAATAAGATACTTAACTCGCTCCCGTGTAATACTAATTCTGTGAAACTTGTGAATAGTCCTGACGAGCGGAACTATTCACTTGTTTCATAAAATTGGTATTATAAAAATTACACGGATGCGAGTTTAGTTTTCCAAGTTTATACAGTAGTGAAATGGACGGACGAAACGACATACAATGATTAGGGATTAATGTTACATGCACATAATTGTAATCTCTCACCTTTGTGTACCTGGTAATAACCAACATTATCTTGAGGGCTGAGTCCCGTTGTACTCGTTAAAACGTCTGATCGGTGATAGCAGAGTTTTCTTTTTTGAGTGTTATCGTAAAAGAAAGACTGACAGTTAGGGACCTTGACACACTCCTTGGCGCAGAATATTTTACTCGGAACGACGAGAGGGGTTGGCAGATCCTTTGGCATGAAGTTGGTAAAAACCAAACTGGTAAATATTTTTAAAATGCCTTCCATGTCTTTGTTGTGAATATGACGAAATGACACCAGATCCAGAGACGAATGTGGATAATAATGCACTTCAGAAAGGGTTGTCTATGATACTCACTAAACACAATCAAACTTTCCACTCGAACGCCTCACGTATCTCTTACAAAAACTTATGTTGAAGCTACATGATCCTGTCTGATGTCGAGATTAGGCTGTTAACTTGCACACTCCCATTTATTGACAGATGCTTCTTTGAATTTTGTGTAGTATTGATGTGTGAACAGACACTGAAAAAAAATGAAAACGCTGATAGCGTAAGTTTCTCACAGATCCGCCTAAGACAACAAAGATTCTTTGAAGAGGGTGTCTGTGGTGCGCCACACGTGTATCGGTTTATTAGTAACGAGTGTCAAATTGTATCTCGTTATCCCTCGAAGATCTTCAACCATAGCCTGGTTCCTTGGTGCCATCGACGATTGTCGTATGGTTCTAGTAGTTTGTCCATGGGAACTTCAACACACAAAAATTGATTCTGCACATTGACGGAGTCCGTTTTCTGCGAGTGACATATTAGCCAACGACTACTGCGAACTCCCAAATTGGGTTTTCTACCTCACGACATCTACTGGTAGAAAGGTTTCAGCGTTGGTCTTATTCAAATGAACGTCCTGTTTGATTCGTCCTTACGTGTTGGTCTGAAGTGTACGCCACACGTCTAAAGAACCTCAAACTGTTTTAAAACAGCTTTCCAGATGATTCTTTCCCATGCATCTCTCTCCGGCAAAACTTAAAACAATATTGACATTCACGGTAGACGCACAATGAAATTGGATGGACATGTCGCGCAATGTCAACGTCGGCTGCCTGAGGTCTCAATACAATCAATGAGACTAGAAATTCTTATTAGTGTATTGGAACACTCGTTTCGCCGTGGCTGTTCTCATAGTTATTGATTTGCTTTACTGATGGTAAGTAGCAAATCCATGATCGTTAAGCGACGTTTCTTTATCTGAAGGGAAGACGGGTATGGATGTGAGAATGGTTTCGATATGGTCATATCATTATTGATGTTATGTTGAAAACTTGGCCTGAACAATTAATGCCAAATCACAAGGGAAATATTATCCACTGACTTATTGGAAACCAATGAGTCAGAGTCAGTGTATTCCAGTAAAAGGCCCCGGGACCATAATACAGTCATTTGACAGCTCCTCAGTACGAATATCATGCAAATCCTTCTCGTTCGAAGTAGCTAGCAAGTTGACCTGTGAAGATTCCGGGGTAGAATAGGTCTTCAGCAACCCATGCTTGCCGTTAAAGGCGACTATGCTTGTCGTAAGAGGCGACTAACGGAATCGGGTGCTCAGGCTCGCTGGCGTGGTTGATTGCATGTCATCGTATCCCAATTGCGTGGATCGATGCTCATGAAGTCAATCACGAGATTGTCTTGTCCAAACTTGAATATATACAGACATCCGTCATATCGCTGGAATAATGCTGAGTGCGGCGTAAAACAACAAACAAACTAACAAACTGATACTTATTGAAAATTTGAGACAATATGGACAAAGCCAATAGTTGTTTTGTTTTTTCAGTATTAGCCGTTGAGATACTGTTTCCACATTAACACTGCACCGTTGGAATTCCGGTGTTAGAGACCCGACTCAATCCCCGGGTCAAATCGGAGTGACTTGGGCCTTTGCTGAGATCACTTTAAGAGTGACTTGGGCCTTTGCTGAGATCACTTTAAGAGTGACTTGGGCCTAGGCTGAGATCACTCTTAGAGTGACTCGGGGCTTGGCTGAGATCACTCTTAGAATGACATGAGCCTTGGCTGAGATCACTCTCAGAGTGATTAGGGCCTTGGCTGAGATCATTCTTTGAGTGACTTGGGCCTTGGCTGATAATCACTCTTAGAGAGAATTGGGCCTAAGCTGAGATCACTCTTAGAGTGACTTGGGCCATGGCTGAGATCACTCTTAGAGTGATTTGGGCCTTGGCTGAGAACATTCTTAGAGTGACTTGGGCCTTGGCTGATAATCACTCTTAGAGTGACTTGGGCCATGGCTGAGATCACTCTTAGAGTGACTTGGGCCATGGCTGAGATCACTCTTAGAGTGACTTGGGCCTAATGAGATCAGTCTTAGAGTGATAAGGGCCTTGGCTGAGATCACTCTCAGAGTGATTAGGGCCTTGGCCGAGATCATTCTTAGAGTGATTAGGGCCTTGGCTGAGGTCACTCTTAGAGTGGTTAGGGCCTTGGCTGAGATCACTCTTAGAGTGATTAGGGCCTTGGCTGATAATCACTCTTAAAGTGACTTGGGCCATGGCTGAGATCACTCTTAGAGTGATTAGGGCCTTGGCTGAGATCACTCTCAGAGTGATTAGGGCCTTTGCTGAGATCACTTTAAGAGTGACTTGGGCCTTTGCTGAGATCACTTTAAGAGTGACTTGGGCCTTTGCTGAGATCACTTTAAGAGTGACTTGGGCCTTTGCTGAGATCACTTTAAGAGTGACTTGGGCCTAGGCTGAGATCACTCTTAGAGTGACTCGGGGCTTGGCTGAGATCACTCTTAGAATGACATGAGCCTTGGCTGAGATCACTCTCAGAGTGATTAGGGCCTTGGCTGAGATCATTCTTTGAGTGACTTGGGCCTTGGCTGATAATCACTCTTAGAGAGAATCGAGCCTAGGCTGAGATCACTCTTAGAGTGACTTGGGCCATGGCTGAGATCACTCTTAGAGTGATTTGGGCCTTGGCTGAGAACATTCTTAGAGTGACTTGGGCCATGGCTGAGATCACTCTTAGAGTGATTAGGGCCTTGGCTGAGATCACTCTCAGAGTGATTAGGGCCTTGGCTGAGATCATTCTTAGATTGATTAGGGCCTTGGCTGATAATCACTCTTAGAGTGACTTTGGCCATGGCTGAGATCACTCTTAGAGTGATTAGGGCCTTGGCTAATATCACTCTTAGAGTGACTTGGGCCTTGATTGAGATCGGTCTTAGAGAGAATTGGGCCTAGGCTGAGATCACTCTTAGATTTACTTTGGCCTAGACTGAGATCACTCGTAGAGAGAATGGGGCTTAGGCTGTGATCACTCTTAGAGTGACTTTGGCCGTGGCTGAGATCACGCTTAGAGTGCCTTGGGCCTAGGCTGGGATTGCTCTTAAAAGAACTTGGGCCTAGGCAGAGATCACTCTTGGATTGACTTTGGCCTTGGCTGAGATCACTCTTAGAGTGACTTGGGCCCTGACTGAGATCACACTTAAAGAGAATTGGACCTTGGCTGAGATCATTCTTATAGAGGATTGGGCCTAGGCTGAGATCACTCTTAAAGTGCCTTGGGCCTTGGCTGCGATCACTCTTAGAATGACAAGGACATTGGATGAGATCACTCTTAGACTGACTTTGGCCTTGGATGAGATCACTCTTAGGGTGACTTTGGCCTAGAGTGAGATCACTCTAAGAGTGACTTGGGCCTAGGCTGAGATCGTAACTCTTAGGGAGTATTGGGCCTAGATACTCTTGTGGCTATATGGCTGAAATAATGCCGATGCGACGTTAAATATGAACTCACTCACTCACTCTAGAGTGGCGTAGGCCGAGGCTGAGTTCCCTTTAGAGTGTGTTGCGCCTAGGCTCAGATCACTCCCCCAAGGCCCCGGGCACTCCGTCCAAATAAGCCCAAATCAACCCCCGAACTCAAATCACAACCCCTAGTATGTCAAATGTCGAAGAATGATTTCATGCACACCCAGGTGTTGTCGACAAATAATTATGTCTGTCGACAATCACTTACAACCATTTAAGGTAAGACGGAGGTCACATGACATTTGAAAACTTTGTATGCCAAAACGTAAACAAGAGATATGTTTGGTTGGTTGTTTTTTAACGCCGTACTCAGCAATATTCCAGATATATGACGGCGGTCTGTGAATAATCGAGTCCGGACCAGACAATCCAGTGATTGACATCATGGGCATCGATCTGTGCAATTGGGATACGATGACATGCATCAAACAAGTCAGCGAGCCTGAGCACCCAATCCTGTTAGTCGCCACTTACGACAAGCATAGTCGCCTCTTACGGTAAGCATTGGTTGCTGAAGACCTATTCTAACCAGGTTCTTCACTGGTAAGTACCACAGTGAGTACAGGATATATTTTCTTAATGTAGGCATTAACCATGTCACTACTATGACCATTGTAATCACACCCACAGCCAGTCTTTGTGAGATGCGACCTGTTAAAATTTGAAGTGCAAGCAATGCAATTGAAGTCGAGCACTTCACAACAGTCTCAACGGCAAGCGGGGGTTGCTGAAGACGTATTCTACCCCCGATTTGCACGGGTACAAAACAAGAGAAGGAGAATAAAGGGATACGTCCGACGACCCCATTCCGATCCTACTGTTCCACTACTGAAGATCGTAGGATCACAATGTATGACCCGTAAGACGGCGAGAAAATCTATTACATTTCACTTAGATTTTCTAGCCTAAGGCTCAATCGTTAGAGTGAGTGAGTGAGTATGGTTTTACGCCGCTTTTAGCAATATTCCAGCAATATCAAGGCGGGGGACACCAGAAATGGGCTTCACACATTGTACCCATGTCGGGAATCGAACCCGGGTCTTCGTCGTGACGAGCCAACGCTTTAACCACTAGGCTACCCGACCGCCCCTCTCAATCGTTAGAAATCAACGAGGCATCCTATAATAGCTGTGTAGCGTGTTGTACCTGTCCACAAACTGTCCAATAATCAATGCGAAATGTGACATACTAGTGAGTGAAGGACTTCATTTTGGATGAATGCTGTACCCATATACATTTCGCGATTACCAGACCATAGCTCAATTTTCACAGCTGAAGCCAAAGCCATTTTGACAGCTTTGGAATATATTCAAAAACAATCTAGCAGTAAACGGTTCATCATCTTTTCAGATTCACTTTCTTGTCTACAGACAAATCTAGCTCTACAGACAAATCTAGCTCTTCACGTCATTCATTTATTTTAGATATTTTAGAACTATATAATGACCTTGCTACTGGCCAATACGACATCGTCTTTTGCTGGCTGCCCAGTCATGTTGGACTCACGGGTAACACTATGGTTGATGCTGCAGCTCTCAACAAATCTGTGACACCACTATTGCGTGGATCGATGCTCATGATGTCAATCACAAGCTTGTCTGGTCCAGACTTGATTATTTACAGATCGCCGTCATATAGCTGGAATATTGCTAAGTGCGAGGTTAAACAAACAGAACCAACATAAATGAAACAGTCGCGTGCCAATCCAGTCATTTAAGAACCCGACCAAGAATACGCAGCGTGTCACAATTGTCAGTGAAGGTCAAACACATAGATGTCACTTAAAATTTTATTTTTGTTGGGCAATGAAGAAATAAAAATGAAAGAGAAGTGTGATTGTAAAACCAAAATTTAAGAAGAGCAAAATTCAAACCACGTGGACCGATAAACACATGATGAACCGACAAAAAGAGGTACATGTAGAATGTACATATAAGAATATAAGTGACAAAACCATTTCAATAATCATAAGCATCTCTGCTAAGAAAAATGCAGCGTCATGTGTACGATGTCAAGAGCATGTGTTTATGAATCACTATCAAATAGGGATTATTCCAAATGAGCGTATCCTGCCCCACCGGTGGCACCCGTCACAAACACATACAAAGGCAAGACAATTATTTACCTGAATAAAGACGGGAACATATGTCACAAGTAATAATAGGAAATTTCATCAGACATAATTTACCAGGTTGCAAAAGCGCAGAATAAGATATTTGCTGAATAAATATATTTTCTTCAATACACCTCTTTATCAAAGTAT